GTATCTGTGGTCAGTATACTGACAGTTGCTATGGTGACTTGTAATCACAGACTGGCAAAATTACTGGTAGCTTTGTGGTGATCAATTCTGGGTATTTGGCAGAACTCAGACTACATTCAAAATGCCTAATCACCTTATATTCATTGATCATAGCTAATATGTGTACAATTAATTCTTTAGTAGATGGCAAGCAAGATATACTCATCTGAGATTAGCTGGAAATCACATATCAGACAGAAGTGAAAATTGTTGCCAGAGGAAAATCATTTGACCTCATAAATTCACAATGAGTTAGCAAAAAGGAACAGAAACAAGGATCTCATATCATTAACACATCAAGGCATGTAAGGGAAAATTAGGACACTATTTCTTATCTGAAGATGAAAACTTCCTCACTATTCTTTAGGATTTAGTATTAAATTTAATTATTTCATTAGGGTGTCTACCTTAGAACTTAGATTCAACTTAGCTGTATGTATAGAAAGTCCAGCCAAAACTTAAACAAAAAGACATATTTTTTCTTCTAAGAAACGTCTTAGGATTGGCAGAAGACCAAAGATTCAGTCCTATGACAGTATTAATTTTCAAGAATTTGGGCTGGAGATGTGGCTCAAGCAGTAGCGCGCTCGCCTGGCGTGCGTGCGGCCTGGGTTCGATCCTCAGCACCACATACAAACAAAGATGTTGTGTCCGCCGATAACTAAAAAAATAAATACTAAAATTCTCTCTCTCTCTCTCTTTAAAAAAAAAAAAAAGAAAAGAATTTATTTATTTATTTGGACTTGCTCTACCAGTGTATTATACTGTTCTTAGAAGCTTTCTACTGAATTTCATTTAGGTGCTATGCTTCCATACTACATAACCACTACAGGCAAGAAGAAATGGGAATGGTAACCAGTAAAATACATGTGCTAGCTGTGCTGTTTGTCAGGAAAGCAGTATCTTTCCTGGGAACTTCAGCTGGCCAACACTGACCCACCTGCATCAAGCAGACTCTTTGTCTGACAGAATCATGACACTGTCCTCTAGCTATTTCCCTGCCTTGTGTCTTGGCCCTGCAATCTCTTACCAAGGAAATTGGTAATCATTTGTTTCCTACAAAAATAATGTAGTGAATATTCCAGGCTTTGTGAGACATATTTCGTGAAGGCTTCCTTCCTCCAGGCTCTTCAGATCTGCCCCTTCAGTACCCCACCTGCCACAGACAACACTGGAATAATCAAGTAAAGCTATGCCTCAGTAAAACCTTACAAAATCAGACAGCGGTCCAGATAACCCTCTCTTGCCATTGCTGATCCCAATTCTATAATATTAATCACTTTCAATATCCAAAATCAGTTAGTACAAGAGTTTTCAATCTGAAGCCTGTGACATGAAGTAAAATTCTTCCTCCACTGAGTGGCACATTATCTTCTAGACTTTCGTATTACAAAGTGCATTATAATATGTTATGATAACATTTATGTGTTTGATTTTCCTCAATAATAAGCTTGTTAACACCCTCAAATATACTACTGAAAAATAATTTCCAACATTCAGTCTAGGACTTGCAGTAAAATTTCCCAATTAATTTAATTTTGCCTGGAGCCACAGTAGGGGACATTTAAAACTTATTTTGTATTATCCTTCTTCTCTACAATTTTTAGATATTAAATTCTTCATCTTCAACCATACTTGTCCAAGTATATTAGCTGTTCCCCATTCCCACCTTCCTCCCCAAGTACTAGATGAAGATGTTGAAATGTTTTGAATTTTTTTCCTCCAAATCCACAGCCTTTGCTGCAATAATTCCTGTAGGTGTCATGATTTTTAGTTAGACAATGTTGTATACGTTTGCATTCTTAACAGTGCCATTTTACATTTAATGTTTTGATTGTATAAATATACAGCTATGTCAGGGCTCATTGCAGATAACTTTAGTCTTCTTTTAGATCCATGTTCTTATTCATTTCAACTATTGTCAATTTCAACTCTTCTATAATTTTCTGTCAGGGAGAGGATGACTGAACTTTCAGGATTCTTTTCCAGGATTTTTTTCCCTCATAGATGTATCACATTTTGAATGAATAAAGGATTTAAGTTTTCATTCTTTCCTTTGTAGACTATACATGAGATTCAATTATCTACTAGATTCCAACATTTCAATCAATATATATAATGTGAATCTGTTTTTTTTTTGTAAATGGAAATTTCAAAAATTACAAACGTCTATAAAATTTTCTCTTTATCCTTAGTCTTTAGAAACTTTGCCACAGTTTATCTAAAGTTGATCCTTATTCTATATATCCTTCCTTGAACTCAGAAATTCTATTTGACTTCTAAATCAGAGTATTTTGCACCCCCAAATGAAATTTTATTTTCCTCTTCTGCATTATGCATCTGTTCTTTGTTTTCTGGGAACCTGTGCTGCAAACATGATAGGTTGAATAAATGCACTCTCTAAGTCTTCCCTCTTCTTCCCACAATTGCAAATTGTGGGCTTTCCATATTAGAAACTATGGATATTTTAAAAAAATATCTTGCTTTTTGATTCCTCTTTAGCTACTTCTTTTGATGTGATATATTTAAAAAACAAGAAGATATTTTGGTCTAATTGGTGACCATTAATGCTTTCAGTGCTTATATACTTTTTTGTTGTTGTTGTTTTATTATTTATTTATTTAAAATATAGCTACACTAATGCTTAGAATCAGCACAATTCACAAGAGCTACATTACAGAACCAGACCAGATATTTATCAACAGAAGAATGGATTTAAAAATGTGGTATATGTACACAATGGAGTTTTAGTTAGCTGTAAAGAAGAATGCAATCATGGTATTTGTATGTGAATGGGTGGAACTGGAGAATTTCCTGCAGACTGAGAAAATCAAGAATCAAATGTTTTCTCTCGATTTTGGAAGCTGGAACAAAATAAAGGGAAATCTGTGTGTGTGTGTGTGTGTGTGTGTGTGTGTGTGTGTGTCTGCGTGCGAGCTCCCGTGAATGGACATGTGTCAAGTCAGTGAGTGTCCCTGAAGAGTAGAGGAAGGGCTTGTGGGGGGGTCATAAAAAGAGAAGAACCACAGAATAGAACTGACCAAATTATCCTATGTACATATATAAACATACCCCATTAAATTTCACCTTTACATATATCTTTAATGCACTAATTTAAAAAACACTATAAATAAGTAGAAGAATGAAGAGTTGAATAAAGGAGCGAGAGAATAAGGGTAGAGGAAGACAGGGAAAGTTGAAATACTGGGGACTATACTGAAATAAAATATTTTTCATGCTTGTATGATTATGTCAAACTAAACCAAATATTATGTTTAACACTGAGATACTAATAAAAAAAATACAAGGACACATGATTTGGGGTTAAAATATCTGTATTGTTAAGTACTTAAAATGCAATGTATTGTACTTAAAATGTCTGTGGTGTTCTTATTACCTACTCTTCTTTTGAAACAGTCTTTCTTTAATGAATGTTCTGTTAGCTCTCTTTTGTGCATCCTCCTAGGGTTACCTTGCTCTTTTAGTTCTTACCCACCTCCTGGAATTAACCTACCAGTGGTATTCTTATATACCATAGAGCTCTATGGGTAGGGCACAGGAAATTCTGTTCCTGGGTTTCCACACAAACTCTCACTCACTAAGTGAGTAGTGTTCAGTCTTTTAATTCTCCCTCAAATCTCCTTGTAAACCTTCCCCCAGGATTGCCGAGTCTGATCCCTGTTTTCTATCTACTATGGCCCAGAGGGAACCATGTTAGCAATTGTTTTCTCCCCTGAGGCTCTGGCTGACATGAAGACCTAAGTCTCTCTCTTCTCCCGACTTCACCCAACAGCTACAGGACATACTTGGCACTCTCGAAAGAACAAAATTGGGCTGAGGTTGAAAGGTAGGGAAGGGAAGAGAGTCTTAGTTTCATTACATCATATCATGTAAATATTCAAATTCATAGAGTGATTTAGAGACTTTAAAATCCTTTGTTTAAAATAATGTTCATATATGTGAATTGAAATTAAATGTCTAAAACTTTATTAAAAAAATGCATTCTAAATCTAAGCTTAGAGTCTTACAAAGATAGTGAGAAATTATTATGCTAATTAAGTTTTTGTTGTTGATGCTGCCGCTTTTATTGTCAGTGCTATGCATTCAACCCAGGGATTCATGTAGGTCAGGCAGGACTCACAAGCCCTATGACAGCTGATTTATTTTAATTACCCTTAGAAAACTCATCTATTAGGTAAAAATAAAATGGCCAAACTACAAAAAGCTGTGAGTGATGGGAATGCCCCAGATAATCAGAGACTCTAAACCTGAATCATGATACACCATCTGTAATATTGTCTTTGCATTCAGGTAAAACTGGAATTTATAACTCCTTGGCTATTTCCTAGATATGTGAATTTGAGGAAGTGACTTAAGTAATCTATCCCAGTTTGCACGTTTTAAAAATTCAAATTTTTTTCACAGGATTGTTGTATATTTTGCAATATATGTAAAGTAGATGCTTAGGAATCTCTTAAACTTTTACTTATTAATGTAGTGACTACCTCTACTACTAATGCTATTATAATTTATTCATGAGCTTAAGCTTAAAACACATGAAGCCATGAATCTGAAACACAACATGGTCTTTTTTCTAATCAAAATGTTGTACTGAATTTGTTGGTATGTGTTTAATATTAGAAAAAAATGCATAACCAAAATACCATAGAAGTTAAGCAAGAATCATAGCTATTAACCAATTTATGACTTTTTCCTTGAGATAAAACCATAGCTTATATTTACATCCTCATAAATTAATTCATTAATATATAATTGACTCAGTATTCTTTAATATTTTATGCAACAGACAAATATTCAAACATTTTGAAACTTTTCCACAATTCTACAGTCACAGACACACACAAACACACACACACACACAGACACGGAGAGATTAAAAACTGGACTTTTGTAGATGATTTTTGGATTAACTCTTCAAGTATAGAAATAGTCTTCCTTACCCATATCTGACATTTCAGGCACAGTCACAATGTAAGGTCCATCTGTGAACTTTGGAGCATTGTCGTTGATATCTTGCACTTTGATGATGAACTCAGATTCAGGTTCCAGAGGCTTGTTTGTCCGTCTGTCAATAGCCTGGGCATGAAGCACGTAGTGTGTCTTCTGCTCTCTGTCTAGGCTTTTGGTTGAGTGGATGTCTCCCGTGGTATCATCAATGATAAATATAGTCCCAGCACCTTCTCCAGTAAGGATGTACTTGACAGACCCATCACCTTTGTCAGAATTGGAGTGCAGCTGCAAAATACACATGGGCAAATTAGCAGGCAATTGCATTCCCACCTTTGGTCTCCTTCTTTGAAAATTTCCCATATACAATTTGATACCTATTGTAAGATTTTTTTCTCTCCACAGTGTCTTGCATATGGCTGTTTTTCATTTTCTTGCATATTTTGTCTAGTTGGTATTCATATAATTATTTATCATGATTTCTCTAAGCAATCCATTTACTGGTTTGAGAAAAAGAATAACCCATGTTGTTTTTTCACTAACTAATATAAAAGCGAGAAAAGAAACTTTCACTACATTTCTGTCACCTAGTATACTTTTAAGAATAAAGCAGATTTTGTTTTGTTTTGTTTTTGTTTTTGTTTTGTTTTGTTTTTAGTATTAATGGAGATTCTATTCTACCTTAAAACTAGAAAAAATACATCGTGGAATGAATTGATATTTAAATTAATTATTAAAATTCTCAAAATAAAGGCCCATGATTTGTCATAGAGCTTTAATTTTATAAGTTGAAACAAATTTGAAATATTTTCTAGTATAAATATTTATATTTAGAATGTAAAAATATGAGCGGTAATTTTTTTCTTTAAGGATTGCAAACATTTAACTCAAAAGGTTGCTATTAGTCTTAAATGGAACCAGTAACTATATCCTAAATTTATTTAACTTAAATACATGGATAAATATCACTTACTGAATTAAAATGATAAAAAAATACCTTACTTGGTATTTTTAAAGTAGAAATTTTAGTAAAGAGATCTTCTCTAATAAGAATAATCAATATATTAAGATAATATTAGTCTTTTTTGTTATTTAAAACTATGAATGCTTTTGAGTTGCATATCACTCATGCTTAAAATTCTATTTTAACTTATACCATCAAAATTCAGTTAAATACCTCTGGGAGTGCCAGTACTATATTTCTACCCAGGAATAGTGGAAGTATTTTCTGAAATCTCAAATACATATTTGAAAAATTGTTTCTCCCAAGAGAGCTGAGCAGTTATCTTCATATGAAATTCTCTGGTCACATAACCTCAAGTCCTCACCTTTTGTTCATTTCTAACATTGGAAATTCTGAAACACATAGCCTTATTCACAAAGCACTTCAGTTTTCTTGCCATAGTGAAGTGACAATTTTCAAGGTTATTTTAAAGGGTCTGAACTCTTAAAAGTCAGTTGAAATAGACAAGATTTAGAAAAACAAAACTCAAGAAAAGAATTTTTTTGTTTTGTAAAAGAAAAAGCAGCCCAAAGAAAATTCATTACAAATCATCAATCATTTTATTTTGTTTTATTTTTTTCAGTATTGGGGATTGAAACCATAAATGCCTATGAGCCTTCATATTCTAATTTTGATACAGGTTCTTGCTAAGATGCTGATACTGGCCAGGAACTTGTAGTCCTCCACACTCAGTCTCCAGAGTTGCTGGGTTTTCAGGCTTGCACCACTCCATAAGTCACACAGTAATAATATTTTCATAATTAGTAACCCAGCTAGCATAATTTTTATTAGTTATGACTAATTTGAACATAGACTGTAATATGATCAGTGAATTATAATTTAGAAATATTCATATTATTGAATAACTTTAGAAAAATTAGAAAAAATATTACAGAAATATTTGATATTTTAATATTAAAATATTTTAATACTACTTAGTTTTAGGGTTTAAGTAATGTGATTGTTTTATTAATACATTTTTTCATCTTTTAACTAACATGATTGAATTTTGAAATTATGAGCGTTCGAGTAATACTAATGGAAAACCATTACATTAGCATGTAGTCAATTGATTAACATTTTATATAATTTTGATAATAACCATATGTGAAGCAGCAACTTGATCTACTCTCAGGATTCTCACTCCTTCACCATATCCTGTCTCAAATGTTCAGTTCTGTTTGAACATATGCTTTGCCACAGAGATGGAGGCCAAGAGAAACATTGGTTATATCATCTTATTTGTTTAATAAGAGGTTTTCAAAGAACTTGGAGGAGCCCATGTTTGTATTAAGTTTTATAAGACAAAAAAAATGATGAAAGAATAAATTAATAAAATAACATTTTTTATTAGTAGAAGTACTGGTAGAAACTTGAGAGATGTAGATAAAACTGGGGATATAAATAATCAGAGTCTATAGATAACTACAATAGATACCTGAAGTGTTTGAGTATGTTCAGGAATGAGAAATAGAAGAAAAGGGTTAGAGCATGGAAATTAGAAATGACCCTGATACAGTTTAGTTACTGATTTTGTAAAAATTTATATCATAGGTTTAACTAGTTACTAAATTATTTGAGAGATACCCATGGACTTTATTATGATAAAAGAAGATAAAATATTTGGAATATAAGGTTGATCTTATTCATATACAATAAACTCCTTTTAGTAAACAGTTTAGAAATATTATCCAGAGAGTGGTAGCAGAGTCTTATCTTAACACACAGTGGTGGGGATATATCTTAACACACAGTGGTGGGGATGTAGTTTTAGAGTCTTGAGGTCTTGCAGAGTAACTTATATTTTCATGTTAAAAGACAGATGTTCTAAATTTAGACTTAATGCAAGAAGAGTTTATTCTTGTGTGTCTGATTACATAGTGAAGTGGGGCTAATAAACTGTTCTTTAGAGGACATAAAAGGAAGAAGGAGTGAAGAAAAAAGAAATAAAAATGTATCAACCCATGTAAGACAAAATTAAAACTTCTCTGGCATTACCTTAATAAATCACCTTTTTCTTAGTGTTAAGTATTAACAAATGGCCCTTCTAAAGCTAATGCAACTCACATGAGTTCATGTCAGGATATTCTTGATGCACCCTGAACCACAGTAGAATCAGTACCAAAAAATATATTGGTTTCACTTCAATGCACATGTTCTCACTAAGAAAATATTATCTTCCTTGGGGAAGAATAATTTTAAAAGGTTAAGGAAATGGTGGAAAAGCCATTAATTTGGAAAGTTGCTTTAAGTTGTAATTTCTACGTTACAAAGACTGGTCACTAAGTTAAAATTATGATATTCTGGATCACACAATTCAAATACACCTTGCTATAAGTAGGGAACTGATATTTACACTATTCCAGTGAATGACTGAAACAAAGACAAAAACATCATATGGGTAATGTTACTCTTATTATCTCCAACACTTTCTGTATAAGAATGCATATGACACAATGTGCAAAAAATATGTGAAAATTTAGAGAGCATGGCATTAAAATGTGGTAGGCATAACTCATTCTACTATGTGTCATATTTTAAAGTAGAATCATACAAAAGAAGAATCAATTAACATTAAGTAACCAATGTGAAGGATATGCATCAAATAATAAATCTCTTGGTAACGTATTCATATCAGTGTCCTTGAAGAAAAATAAAACATAATTTTAAGTTTTTTTTAACAATTATGGAAAAATTGTTAAAAATGAGAATAACAAAATACCTAATTCAACCATAAAACGAATGGTAATTGGTTACAACACAAAAGATTAAGAAATTAATAAGGAAATACAGTATTTGTATAACTAGGAGTACAAAAATACGGCATTTTTAACTAATTGGCATATACACTTTGAGAAGGAAGTGAATGAATAATAAAGAGTTGCAAAGAACAGACTCCCTTTTTTCCCACTTGCTTTGGAAATATAGCCTCTGAACTCAAAACGGAATGTTAACACCTAACACGTAACTGCATAGTGTTGCTTACATTTGAAATTGTCATTTCTTACCCATCAGCTCAACTATCCAGATGTGCTGAATATTTGAGCACTGTGAAATGCAGGCAGTGGGTGAGAATTTCACTACAAGTTATTAAGAAACCTCAAATATTGAGAAATTGATTAAAACTGGAGTAAACTACATGGAATACATGATTATCTATTTTTTATCAGAATAAAATTATGTTTTATTTTTCTTCAAGGACACTGAAACAAATTTTATGTGCACACTTTCTCCTCCTCCTCCTCCTTCTTCTTCTATTATTATTATTATTATTATTATTATTGTTTAATCTTTAGACAGTATCTTAATAATTTCAACATGCTCGACTTCAATTTGGAATTTTCCAGCATCAGCCTCAAGAGTAACTGGGATTACAGGTGTATTACCCCATGCCCAGCTGTTACTGTTTTGTTTTTGTTCTTTTTAAATATCAGATTATTAAACATGACTCAATTTCCATGAAAATATTGACACAAATCCATTGCCCACACATTAAATTGTATTATTTCACACACATTTAACACTTCATCATTACTGTTCATTTTAGCAATTTTAGGGAAAAAAATAAAGAGATATGGTTGGGGTTGTAGCTTAGAGGTAGAATGCTTGCCTAGAATGTGTGAGACACTGGGTTCAATCCTCAGCACTACAAAAAAATAAATAAATTTAAAGAAAGTCGTTGTGTTCATCTACAACTTAAAACAAATTTTAAAAAATAAAGGGATAGGTAATTATAAATATGCTATCATAAAGGCACTGCATTGATGAAGGGGGAAGTTAATGAGGCGAATTGAAAATTAAAATGTGGGAAATGTGAAGTGTGAAGTGAAAACATGGAATAGTGTGTAAAATGCAGTTTCAGAAATTAAGTGATACAATACTGATTACATATAGACTTTCTTTTTTAAATTTTATTATTATACATTGTTACAATTGCACAAACACTAAAATTAAACAAATGATGTATAACCAAGAGACTCAATAAATTTTAAACAGAATGGTAAAAAGTATTTACAACAAGAGAAGATACAAAGGGACCAGATAAAACAAAAAATGATGTAGCAATGTAAAAACAAAACCTTATTAAACACTATATTGTATACAAACATGAATCAGGAAAAATGGTGGAGTATGAATTTTCCAAATTATCTCCTTTATAAAGGCAATGAGAATTCTCTCTAAAGTTACAAGAATCAACTTTTCAAAACTCTGGAAAATGATCATTCTTGAGGTATCACAGAGAACATGTATGCAAGAAAAATATCTGAATTTTGATTTGAAGATT